GGAAAATTTTGCATGGAAACTGCAAAAGAAAGGTTTGAGTGATTAAAAAATGCATGGAGTACAAAAAAAGGGTTTGATTGATTAAAAAATACATGGAGTACAAAAAAAAAGGTTTGATTGATTAAAAAATGCATGGACACTGCAAAAGAAAGGTTTGATTGATTAAAAAATACATGGAGTACAAAAAAAAAGGTTTGATTGATTAAAAAATGCATGGACACTGCAAAAGATAGATTTGAGTGATTAAAAAATACATGGACACTGCAAAAGATAGGTTGGATTGATCAAAAACATACATGTACAGAGCAAAAGAAAGGTTTGATTGATTAAAAAATACATGGAGTACAAGAAAAAAGGTTTGATTGATTAAAAAATGCATGGACACTGCAAAAGAAAGGTTTGATTGATTAAAAAATACATGGAGTACAAAAAAAGGTTTGATTGATTAAAAAATGCATGGACACTGCAAAAGATAGGTTTGATTGATCAAAAACATACATGTACACAGCAAAAGAAAGGTTTGATTGATTAAATAAATGCATGGACACTGCAAAAGATAGGTTTGATTGATCAAAAACATACATGTACACAGCAAAAGAAAGGTTTGATTGATTAAAGAAAAGGCAAAAAACGTACATACTTTTCGTTGGTTTGAGCTGTAACTAATAATAAAGAATACGCGAACTCTTCTGTTCATAGTGTGGTAAAACGTTTAGATGACTTAGTGGATGTAAACGTTTAATTCCTGTAGGCTTTAATTTACACTCTTAAGAAACTATGCCCTATTTTGCACATCTATATAATCACACCTATAAACATGTTGTCCCAGTTTCCTTTGAAACCATTTCCTTATGGATCATGCTCACTCTGATGACCATGATTACGTACTATTGTCCGACACTGCACTTTCCAAGAACAAGCTCAGGCCACGCATCTTGAGAAACGTCTTACAAACTGTCTACTGTGTATAGACCCAAAGTTCGGGCCACGCATCTTGTAAAACGTCTTATAAACTGTCTACTGTGTCTGGACCCAAAGCTCAGGCCACGCATCTTGAGAAACGTCTTACAAACTGTCTACTGTGTCTGGACCCAAAGCTCAGGCCACGCGTCTTGAGAAACGTCTTACAAACTGTCTACTGTGTCTGGACCCAAAGCTCAGGCCACGCATCTTGAGAAACGTCTTACAAACTGTCTACTGTGTATAGATCCAAAGCTCAGGCCATGCATCTTGAGAAACGTCTTACAAACGGTCTACTGTGTCTGGACCTAAGGCACAAAACATCTACGGAAGCTCCATCTGGTGATTTAACTTGAATGACACCTTATGTGAAAGTGGATAAACAGTCGGATCGGCAACCCCAACATTCAGGCATAACCATTCCAAATTTAGAATTGCTGACCAAAGGGAAGACTACAAGTAAGTAGCACCAGATGCCCACAACATTACTCTTGATCAAATAATGGGATCGGCTACCAAATAGAGGGATCGACTGCTGAATAGTGGGATCAGCTGTTTGTATTATAATGCGCCCACAGATGAAATTGTGGAGCGAGTTCAGTGACTCGAATTTTGGGCCTTCCAATACGAAGACCGGCCAGTTAACCATTGGTCATCCATGTCTTGTATCGGGGTCACTTGACAAGGATATGGTCAAATGCGATTGTAGTGATTCCAGTTTCTTCGGACTTCTCTCTCTATTTTAAAAATAAATAAATTAAAGGTTGATTTCAAATCTTGTGAATCTTTCAGTTGCCAAGCTTAAATCGTTGTTTATTCTTTTGTTAAAGGTACAAGCAGATATGTGCAGCTACAGTGCAATGAAATTTTGGATCGAAGTGTTCTCTATTGTAACCACAGCATCCACTTTGTGCATAAGGTTGTTGCTGTTGGTCGGCTTAAGGTGTGACCCTGAACTACTGTCCGAAATGCTTTGCTGTGCAAGTTTTTCAACTTTCACTAAAAATACTGAAGTCTACCTTCTTCAAAATACTGTGCCCTTTAATTCTGCTTTAAAGCAGAGTTTCTGAACAGTTTAACATATTGAAATGTTTCTCTTCTACGAGTTGCTCAAGTGCTTTACAATAACACCTTCGTCTTAATAATCACAACATCAGGTGGTGTTTCATTTCACAGAGTGGACAAGAGACATATCAAATCGCCAATAAGAATAAAATATATCAATACTATTAATAATGATAACTTAGCAGCGAGCGCGTTACATTTCTTTTCTATATCTACTTAGCATGTTGGTATCTGTTAAACGAGTACAACAAGAGTTAACTTACTGTAAGTATTCTGTTTCTCGGTCAGTGTCTTCTTACGACGGCAATCAGGAGATGTTGGATCTTTTTGTTCAAGTCTCTCCTAGAAAGTTTTATAAAACAGATTTTGATCTACGGTTAGGTAGTTCACTTTAAAACAAATGTATTTAATAGTTATCAACTGTCTGACACGTGTGTTGGAATACAATCATACCTCAAAACCAACAATCTGACACGTGTGTTGGAATACAATCATACCTTAAACCAACAATCTGACACGTGTGTTGGAATACAATCATACCTTAAACC